TACATATAGACCGGTTGTTCTCAAACTTTTGTCCACTGCCCCCAAGTCCATAAGACATCCCGACCTCTCCGCCCCTTCCCCACATAATTATAAAATGAAAAAAATTAACAAATTTGAACACTTTATTCATATATTTTTTCTTAACCCCCTCCCCACGATACCACAAATTTTAAAGTAGTATACTTACTAAACAATTTTTTTAAAAATATAAACAGGTGTGACAATGAGTAACTAATTTTCTAATGTTTTTATTGCTTCTGATGGTAAATAAGAAAGTTAGTGAGTCCTAAACAAACGTACACAGAAGCACACTTACACAAGGCCCAGGTTTGAATATAACAACGCACTATAATGATGGAAACGTGTTTCATTTGATGTGTCTCTAGTTGGAAATTTCAAAAAAACTTCAATTCGATATTTAATATTCATCAGACCAAGTCACTGATCTTAAACATAATTGGGGACATAAAAAAAGTACATGATTCAACAGACAGGCCTGACTTGATATTTTAGGGGCCTAACTGGAGGCTTTCTGTGTGGGCCTGACTGAAGGCTTTATGTGGATGCCTGACTGGAGACTTTATGTGGGGCCTGACTAAAGGCTTTATGAGGTGGCCTATCTGGAGGCTTTATGGGGAGCCTGTCTGGAGGCTTTATGGGGACCTGTCTGGAGACTATAAGTCTGGGCCTGACTGGATGCTTTATGTGGGAGACTGTCTGGTGGCTTTATGGGGGGCCTGACTGGAAGCTTTATGGGGGGGTTTGTCTGGAGGTTTTATGGGGGTCTGTCTGGAGGCTTTATGGGGGGCCTGTCTGGAGGCTTTACATTGGGGCCTGTCTGGAGGCTTTATGTGGGGGCCTGACTGGAGGCTTCATGTTTGGGCGTGACTGGAGGCTTTATGTGGGGGCCTGTCTGGGGGCTGTTTGTGGGGGTCTGTCTCGAGGTTTTATATGGGGGTTTGTCTGGAGGTTTTATGGGGGTCTTTCTGGATGTTTTATGTGGATGGCCTGTCTGGAGGCTTTACATGGGGGCATGTCTGGAGGCTTTATGTGGGGCCTGACTGGAGTCTTCATGTGGAGGCCTATCTGGGGGCTTTATGAGGGCCTTTCTGGAGGCCTGACTGGAGGCATTATTGGGGTCTGTCTGGAGGCTTTATGGGGGCCTGTCTGGAGGCTTTATTGGGACCTGTCTGGAGGCTTTAAATGGGGGCCTGACTGGAGGCTTTATGGGGACCTGTCTGGAGGCTTTATATGGAAGTCTGTCTGGAGACATTATGTTGGGGCCTGACTGGAGGCTTTATGGGGGCTGTCTGGAGGCTTTATGTGTGGGCCTGACTGGAGGCTTCATGTGGGGGCCTGGCTGGAGGCTTTATGTGGATGCTTTATAGGGGATTGTCTAGAGGCTTTATGGGGGCCTGTCTGGAGGCTTTATGTGTGGGCCTGACTGGAGGATTCATGTGGGGGCCTGGCTGGAGGCTTTATGTGGGGGTCTGTCTGGATGCTTTATAGGGGACTTTCTGGAGGCTTTATGTGGGGGTCTGTCCGGAGACTTTATAGGCGCCTGTCTGGAGGCTTTATGTGGGGGCCTGTTTGCAGGCTTTATGTGGGAGGCTTCACTGGAGGCTTTTGTAGGGTCCTTACTGGATGCTCTATGTGGGGGTTTGTCTGGAGGCTGTTTACTTCACGTTTATCTGTAGCAATCACAGTTGAGAAAGATCGTTCCGTCATTTAAAAAGAAAAGAATCATTCTTGAGGTCAACAACTGGTCGGGATAGATTGGCTAGGACAGATTGGCCAGGATTGGGGTCGATCGTAAACTTACGTCACGCTAAAAATGACCTTTTTAGACCACCCTCCCTCTGTCACGGAGTGTAACAAACTATTTACCCCCGCCTCGTGTCAAGTCACACTTAAAAAAAAATTAAATCAATTTTCATAACCAAACTAAGATTTTATTTTACTCTATAACATTTTCTCATAATGGATTAAGATGTAGTATTCTTAGAAAACTGAGCTTCTTAGTCCTATAACTCCTGAGCAAATTTCAACATTTTTTTAAATTAGTAGACAATACAAGGTTATTTTTTAAAGTGACGTCACAAAATTTTGACAAACTTCCCCCCCCCCCTGTTTTGAAGAGTCAAAATTTATCAACCCCTCCTTCCCCCTAAGCGTGAGTAATTTGCGAATGACCCCATAGATTGGGCAGTATAAATTGACCAGGCTAGATGGGCCTCTGCGTATTTGCCATTACATTTTTTTTAATTAGTAGACAATACAAGGTTATTTTTTAAAGTGACGTCACAAAATTTTGACAAACTTCCCCCCCCCCCTGTTTTGAAGAGTCAAAATTTATCAACCCCTCCTTCCCTCTAAGCGTGAGTAATTTGCGAATGACCCCATAGATTGGGCAGTATAAATTGACCAGGATAGATTGGCCTCGGCAGATTTGCCATGCAAGATGGCCAGGATATATTGGCGACAAAAGAATTGCCAGAACAGATTGGACGGGACAGATGGCCAGGATTGATTGGCCAGGACAAATGAAAGAGGATAGTTTGGCCAGGGTTGTTGTTGCAAGAGGCATCAGCTAAGTAATGGGCTCAAAATTGTGATTTGGGAAAAATATATATAAGAAAGTATGTTAGCTAAATAGCTGAATAGCTAAATAGCAAGAACAGAAAAGTGGCCAGGGGCCTCCAAAAGTCATGCGACTACTCTGCTTATAGATACATAAAGTGAAAATATAAAAGCTGTTGCTATGTCATGTTTTAGAAGGAGAATACGTCGATACTTCAAGTCGCATAGATATTTTGATTTTGCGTAGAAGAATGACCTGTAGATATTTGAGGTAGATGTCGATATTTCAGTTGGCATAGATATGTTGAGCTGTAGATATTTAACGTTATTTAATGACGTTAAATCCCCTTTTGTGCTGAGATTATTCTCTTATATCACGGGCTAATATTGTGGTGGCGTGACATCACCGTAAATCATGTCTTCAAGGCAGGTCTATGGGTCCCGACCCTCTGCCCACTTCCCACTGTCTGGCCATTCAACCGCCAGGTGAGCCACTGTTTCTTCTTTCTGGCCCCAAAATCAGAAGGTTGGTTCCTTGTGTCGTCAAATCTATGGAGGTAGCTGCTCGTCGCGCAATGGCCTGTCCTCATCTGTTCTGCTCGCCTCTCTTTAGCCTCAACCAGTGGTCACTCTTGCTCGGTCGCGGCATTTTCCAATGAAGCTGTCGTCCAGTTTCTCCTGCGGCACAATCGCTTAGCCACTTTTCACGAAAGTGGTCTTTCAATCAAGCAGTGACTCGCAGCTGAGTAATGAGTTTATCGGAATGTGGTTGGGCGGTGCCTTAGAACATGTCTATACTTCAATGGGCATAGATATTTGAGTTTGCATAGAAGAAAGACCTGTGGATATTTGAGGTGATTCAGAACATGTCGATACTTCAATGGGCATAGATATTTGAGTTTGCATAGAAGAAAGACCTGTGGATATTTGAGGTGATTCAGAACATGTCGATACTTCAATTGGCATAGATATTTGAGTTTGCATTTTAATGTATGATACATTGTACGTTTTAAAAAATTTAAATATCTCGCACTGGCCTGTGGTGCCATCGGATGCGTGTTCTCAGGTCCATCAAAACTTAAAAGTTTCGGAAACACTTTAAGACGCACTAATGGATTCTTGCGGGTGCTGGGTGGCCACGTGGTCTAAACTGAGCAAATCTCAAGTTGGTGGTCTCGAGTTCAATTCCAGCAAGAGCAAAAACACCACAAGCACCCCGGGGAGATGGGACTCGTTAACCTTGGATGGCAACTCATCTAAGAGAAGGAAACTCTGAACTCAAACCCGGAGATGGAGTCCCGAAAGGCGGATAACATTGATACAATGAAACATTCCGACAACTCTTGCGACGTCACTGGTGCCAAGCTGTATCATCCAATGATGTTCCCTTGGGTTACCCAGTGAGGTGGAGAGAGGCGATTTGCTGTTGGGAACCAGCTTATAATCCTTGAAGTATAATCCCAGGCCATGTGGATTTCGTCCTCCGAAGCCCACTCCATCGTCACATTGTGACGGACGGATGCCAGCCAATGGATTCTTGCAATCAGTTTAACTATTGCATGGAAGTGTTCTCCATCATGACGTTGTGTAAAAATTCTTGGGGGTTATTTCCAGTTTATGAAAATGCAGGCCTATATAATTGTCGTATTAAGATGTCTCACCATGGTGACTAATGTTTGGTTTCAAATAAGTATGTGCTGTAGCTTAAATGTAGATATATGCTATATCTTATTTAGGTCCTCTTCTGTAGTTTATTGATGCCATAAGCCTTAGATTATTTATCTCATAGTAAATCCGGGTCTGTGGTCCACGCTTGATCGAGCCAGATATGCCGACAGGAATGGTGTAATGTGGAACACTTGTCCCATTGTGTGTTAGGCTTTAAATTTTTTGGGATGTGTAGTCTCCGATGAAAGGTGAATTCCCTTAATGGTCTAACACATACCCCAATTTTTAATGACAAGGTATCTTTCCGAACTGGCGAGATTTCGCAACAATATACTGCTTAACTGTGTTACTTAGTGTCCCCTTAAAAATACTCTTCCGGATATTGTTCTGATAAAATGTTCAAGCTTTGATCCCCATTCACAAACACTACTAGGAGCAAAAATAAGACTCAACTAGTAATACTCATTCCTCCGTTGAGAGACCGAACTATCCAACATATCTTCTTTTGATTTCTGGGAACCCGTGCATACCTGGGCCATGCACCGTTGACGAACAAATATACGAACGCATATACGTGTTCAAGATGCGGAATTTAGAGAACTGTTTTAACGGGTGCTTTCTGTATCTATTTGTTTGTTTCATGTTTATCTCTCCTAGCAAAAAACTTCGAAACCACGCACTACCAATGACGTCACATTAATCTCTAATTCTAAAGTCTTTGACGTCGCTCTTCACAACAGAATCCATTTCCTGAAAGAAGATAGCAATGGCGAACATGCAGCTGCTGTCTCGACTAGGAGCCGCACCTATAAAGTATCTGGTCACTCCAGCCGAACGTGTGAGCTGGCAATCAGTTACATGCAGTCTGAACAAGGTCCATTCATACCCAAGGCATCACGATGTGTTCGATGGTAACATTGATTCTGGTTAACGAAATTGTTTAAAACTATTTACACTTATTTATGATATAATTAATATATTATTTCCAGCTAGTTAAATATATTTTAACTTGAATTAGTATTTTATCATAATGCAAGCGTTAAACTATAAGCTAACAAAAAAAAGGTATCGCCATGATCATACAAGGTTTAAAAAAATGATGGCTTCACTGTTACTATAGATAAATAATTGACACTAGCAACAACACTACATGGACCAAACCCAAAACCCTGGTGGGGCGAATCCTGCTCCACGTCATCTACGCATCCCTGGCTGTGAAACGCCTTGACTTACTTGGTGGCCTGCACGCTCTCGTCGGCTCTCGGGGTGTCCCGCATATGCCGTCCACTTTCAATACGTTGGTTTGATCTTGATATATTTGACCAAGTTATTGGTGGGTGCGCACTGCGTACTCGAATCCATCACTGTCCTGCATAGGTCAGTACAACAGACTGAGCAATTTACATTCAAAGTAAGTATGGTACGGAGTTTTGACATTCTAAGTATTGGTCCTTGTCTCTGCATGAAGTAGACGATTTCAAATTTTAAGATTTAATTTAAATAATTTTCTTTGTGACTATCTAAATAAGGCCTACTCAACTTACGGGCCGCCGGCACCCACTTTGAGGCCCGCGAAGTAACGAAATATTCTTTAGTCTTATTATTTTCTTAATAGCTCCCCCCACCTTTCCCCGTCTTATTTTCATTTGGCAGTCACAATTTTTCATCAAGTATTGCAGCCGCATTACATCTAAATTAGGACTAATCTAAATTGATCTGAACTTCGGGTATTTATTCCCAGGCTAAAATATGAACCGTGGTCTATTGTTATCTTTCCAGTGTGCTCGTGTATTGGAACTGCTGGATTGTAATATAAGTCTGCTCTTAAATGTATGTCTTTTTATATCAAGATGTTATACCACGTATATCTCTCTCCCCCTCCCTCTCTGTTCCTTTCTCTTTCCCTCTCCCTTCATTCTCTCTGTCTCTCCTTCCACTCTCACCCCTCTCTCTGTCCCTTTCCCTCTCTTAATCCCTCTCCCTCTCTCTCTATTCCTCCCTCCGTCCTTCTCCATTGTCCCTCTCTCTCTCTCTCTCTCTCTCTCTCTCTCTAACCCTCTATCAGTCCCTCTCACTTTCTTCTCTCTCTGTCTCTCATTATCACTCTCATCCCTCTCTCTGTCCATCCCTCCCCCTCTCTCCCTCCCTTCCTTTCCCCCTCTCTCTCTCTCTTTCTCTCCCTCTCTACGCGTGTCTGTCACGGGACATTTCAAAGTTCCGAGTCTCTGATTCACTCATTTCTAACACAGACTGATCTTAGTCGTCAAGTTTATTATAATCTCTTAAGATGTCCTTGCTCTTGTTATCGTCTGCTGTATATAAAGCTTTGTTATATGCAAGTCTCAGATATTGTAACGGTAGGCGTCGTACAATTTCTTTTGGTTTTAATCAGTTTAAATTTCTGTGGACTTATTCCTTAGTGTTCCTCCGGTGTTAACACGGGCAATGTTCGTATACACTTCTTGTCATGTGAGGTTGAAAAGTAAACAGGAGTGAGTCTTCTTGTCTTAGACCTTGTCAAATCTGGAACACCATTGAATACCATCTCTACGCCATGGCTGTTTGCTTGTGTGTAAACCAGTTAATGTTGTAGGCGGTGGTGCCAAGCATTAGAGTCTTTGTGGACCACTTTGATAGCGAGTAAAACTTTCGCCTACTGCATGCCCTTAACACTAACGTATAAAAATATTAGACTAAACAAACACTTAGTGGTGTAAAAAATTGTTATTAAACACTTACTATCTACTCGCAATCCGCCATCCCGTGTGCGGAACGTTATTTTTTGTTTACACGCGTGACATTTTACGATTCAATGTGGCTATTCGCACCCGGGTACCAGAAGTGAGAGGTTGGGATTTAAAAACTATTTAAAATATTAGTGTTGGGTTTGTACGACAAAATGAGGTATCAAATGAAAGATAATTGAATGAACTATATGGTTGTAAACTTACTTCTTCAGTTTAACTAAAATAAACTACCACAAATGACATCTGAATAGCATTAAGTCTAATGTGACCCGGGTGTGAATGGCGGCGAAGCGTGTTTATGTCCATTTCGGGCAGCGAAGCGGCACGTTGGAGCTAACCCTTTTCCAAGGCAGCCCCCACCAGCACCCACTCGATCGAGTACCAGCGGAGACCACCCCAGTCCTATGACAACCGGTTGGCCAATGAGGCTGCTCTCACAGTGTCAGCACTCGATTTCCCCAGTAGTCGGAATGCTGTATTTACGTCCTAAAATCTTTCCCCTCCCATTCCGCGGATCGTCAGAAGACCTCTTAAAGGGGAATGCTACAGGGAGTTTCTACCTCACAAATCATTTCCGAGGCAGCTGGGACAAAACGGTTGCCAAAGAACGGGTACCTCAAATGATGTATCATATCCATGAACGACAACATGTGATCATGATCCCCTCCTTGTTTCTGCCATTTTATTTCCAGCTGCAGAGTTTCCGGGTAACGCCAGGGAGGTAGAAGAAATGTAAGAAAATTAAAGTTTTTATTACCTAGTTATTCATTACAACACTTTTAAAATAACACCTATAAAATGAAGTTAATACAATAAACTCTTACAAACCTTCATTTCAGTAAAAGAGCTAAACTCATTTCGCCTCTGGGAGACAACTCATGTTTGTAGAAGTGGTCACCCCATTAATCCCTCTTGGGGACAACAAGAAAGGAGAAAGACTTCACAAGATGGCGTCCAGGTTTGAGATTTATTACTTAAAAAAACTGTAAACATTTGATTCAAATAAAATTGTAATAATTTCGTTATTTGTGAACAAACAAACACAGATTATGTCAATGGATATTTTTGTACAAGATTTTTCTACATCTAAAGGCAATGAATAGGGAATGATGTTTTCAATTCATCATTAATAAGGATGATTATTTAAACAGTTATTATTGTTGAATAGCAAACATGAAATACAAAGTACTTCAATTAACAGTATGTTACGCTTGGATAATGATAATTTGTAAAATTTAATGGTTTGAGATTGATATATTTCAATGAGTTAAATGAATTTTGTACATTTAATGGTTTGAGATTGATATATTTCAATGAGTTAAAGGAATGTTGTACATTTAATGGTTTGAGATTGATATTTGTCAATGAGTTAAATGAATGTTGTACATTTAATGGTTTGAGATTGATATATTTCAATGAGTTAAAGGAATGTTGTACTAAATGTCGTCATCGACTTCATGGATGTCCGTCCATATCTCAACAAGGTGACCTCATCTTATAAATGGAAACCAAAACACCCCCAGAACAGTGCCCTTTTAGGTCATCGAGGTCATGGCATACTCACATTTTTGAAGTGTTGCCTGGGGCAACTGACACAACACATGGTGCCTGTCCGTCACTACAAGTTCGAGTATCCTATACCTGAAAAGTTAGAAGTAAGTTTTTTTTTACAGAAATATGTTTCTGATGTTATCTTATGTACAACCATGATAAATTAGAAGTGAGTTTTTACAGCAATATCATCTTGTCTGATGTTAGCCTATGGACCAATATGATACCAAAATAATATCATATGTCCTATCTTCTTACCACAGCCCAAGCACTTTAAAACAAATTACAAAAGAAAAGACAATGATTCTTTTTTTAAAGTATTTCATAAATTTTTAGAGTTGGATATTATTTTCACCAGCCAGATCTTGCTCTTAAACTTAAAAAAAAAAATAAAATAAATATCAAAAAAAGGTTAACTGATATTTACATCAAAATGTAAATCAAATTAATGGTAGCACACCCAATGTGTCAAACTTATTATTGGTAAATGACCCATTATGTCAAACATGATTTTAAAATGACCCAATTTGTCAAAAAATGAATGCTGAGCAGATCACTTATGATTAAAATAAAAAAAAATTAACGCACATATGTCTGTCTGATTTTTTTTTCCACAATAGAAAAACAATGTCTTGTTTATTTAAACTTGCAATAAACATCTTTTGCTTATGAATGCAGCCATGGGTTTTGCCCGTAGAGCCACTTGGAACTACATTCACCAGCTACCTCAGTGATCAAAATGTGGAGACAATTAGAATATTGGCACAAGGTGAATTTAACTTTTATTACCGCCATCAATTCTTCGGGAAAACAGTTCAGGACCTTCTCGAGGAAAACAAACCAACTAGAAGTAAGTATGATGGCTTAGGAAAACTATGTGTTTATTTGCATGAAATCAGTAAAAAAAAATTATAAAATCCTTCAAGTAATTCTACCCTGGTTTGCTCCTTACCTTTTGTGGGCATTTAAATCTGATACAATAATAGAATAGTATAGACCCAGTGATTAGTCCCATTGAATAGACCAATTGAAAAGACACTTTGTCAAATTAAGAACTGGCGTCAGTGGGCCGTCGAGCTTGGGCTCTTTATACCCTCCCCTAAACACCCCTCCCCAACCCATTGTATTCAGGCCGCGGAGCGGCACGTCGGGGATGTATCTTTGTCAGGACGGCCCCCACCCGAGTCTGCTCGACCAGGTTCTCCACCGGGGGCTGTCCCAACCCAAAGACACCCGGTCGGTCCGACACTGTGTTTGCACACAGTGTACACGATCGACTTTCTCAGAAGTTCGGATGGAAAAATGTACGTCCTAATATCTCCCCCACCCATCCCGGGAAAGCGTTAGACGCCCTATAAGAGTGATTCTACAGTGGGTTTCCACAACGCAACTAAATTGTGACGTAACTGCGACGAAACGGTTGCCTTGGAGCAGCTTCTCAGGGCTGCATAGTAAGAATAATCGGCCAGAGGTTACCACCTTAGCATCTCGCCTCATATCCATTAACGGCAACTTGTAATCATGATGCCTACCCTGTCTCTGTATTTTTTCCAATCGCGAAGTTTCACAACTGGCAGCTCTGTAGGAGCTGTTTTATGTACGGCAGGTACCCAGCACATCCTTTGTCTGCCCACCGGGATGCGCCCAGCAGTTGCGTTCCCTGTGTAACGTTGAGGGGGTTTGTAGCCGATGCCTTGTAATTGACAAGCCACCACAGACTTGTCAACTGGAGCCTCGGGGAGAAAAAGACCCATTAAGAAGGCCCATTGAGTGGACCCGTTGAATATTCCAATAGGCGAGACAACGTGAATTGTCCAAATGAATAGACCATTGAATAGAATAATTGAAAAGCCCCATTAAACAAACCCATGGAAAAGACTCGCTGAAATATTTTCATCAATAAAATATTTGAATAATAAATAAATTATTACATTCTTAAATAATGAAACTGGAGCGTTGCCCCTGAATTGATTCTGTAATTGCAGCAATAGCAGTTTTTAAGCTAGATCAGGAAAAGGTAGTTGTTAAATGTTCATTCAAATGATCTTTAAGATAAAAAATAAGTTCTTTTAGCCTTATGAAAGGTCATCAACATAACCAAATTTAATTTACTGACATCCCTTCAAGGAAGTCAACGGGGGCTCGCAAACCTTTATTTTAACTGGTGAAATAACAAGTGGGGCATGGAATTTAATGAAACCAAATATTAGACAATGAGCATCTCTAGACAAAAAATATCAACCTTTATGTACTCACTAAACGAGACAATGCTCTAACAAGTATAAAAAAAACCATACCTTGGAATTCTCTTCTCAAATAACAAATATTTCAAAGTAAATAATCAATTATATCTAACCAGAGAAATAAGCACCGGGGCACCACAAGTCTGCGTTCTCTCTCCTGTACTGAATACAATATGTATGGCATCTTTCCGTCTACGGGAGACGATAGATTATCTTTATTGATTGCAGCTCTTGGTGTGGCTGGTGAGACCAACCCTCGAATGGCAGTCTCTGTTATATTTCCCACACACGAATGCGTTGGGGCAGTATTTACCGGCCTTCCTCCTCGCTCTTTTTGCAGCTGTTTCCACCCTGTTTTGATCCTCGGCATGTAGTAATCCTGCCTTCACGATGCCCCGCCATGAGGATCGATCCTCTCCCAGCTCCTCCCAGTTTGAGATCTCGATGTTGGCCGACTTCATGTCTCTTTTGCATATGTCTAAGTATCTCAGACGAGGCCGTCCAACTGACCATTTCCCTGTCGCCAGCTCGCTGTATAGCAGGTCCATTGGTATGCGACCAGGTTGCATTCGCTTGACGTGTCCAAGCCAGCGGAGGCGTCTTTGGATTAACATGGCTGGGACGCTACACATGTTTGTTTGGGACAGGACATCCGTGTTTGGGACTTTGTCTTGCCATTTAATGTCAAGGATGTGGCGCAGGCATCTGAGGTGGAAGCCATTGAGTCTTCTTTCGTGCTTCGAGTATGTGGTCCACGACTCGCATCCATACAGGATCGTGCTCAGTACGCAGGCCTGGTAAACCTGCAGCTTAGTTCTTGTTGTGAGTTTGGCGTTTGACCAGACTCTTTTCTTCAGTCTGACCATAACAGTTGCGGCCTTCCTTATCCTTCCACTTATCTCATCCTCTATTGAGAGGGTGTTCGATATGTTGGATCCCAGATACGTGAATCTGTCAACAGTATCCAAGTCGTATTCGTCGATGTTGATATTGGGGAGGGAGTCAGCGCCCTGTGCCATAATGTTAGTTTTCTTTAGGCTAATTGTTAGGCAAAACTATTTGCAGGCAGTGGATAGGCTGGATACGAGGCTCTGCAGGCCGTCTGCTGTGTGAGATACCAAAGCGGCATCGTACGCAAACAAGAACTCCCGCAGCAAGACCTTTCTTGTTTTAGTCTTAGCTCTAAGGCAGGCAATGTTGAATAATTTGCCGTCATCTCTAGTGTGGATGTATATACCCTCACTGTTGTTCTTGAAGGCATACTGGAGTAGGATGGAGAAAAAGATTGCAAATAAAGTAGGAGCCAGCATGCAACCTTGCTTTACTCCACTACTCACTAGAAAAGCTTCTGAGGCGACACCGTTATAGCACACTGTGCCCTGCATGTTTTCGTGGAACTGCTTGATGATGTTAAGCAGTGGTGTAAGGCAACCTATCTTTTTGAGGATCTGAAACAGGCCGCTTCTGCTGACAAGATTAAAAGCCTTACTGAGATCGACAAACGCAATGTATAAAGGCATATGTTGCTCCCTGCATTTCTCCTGCAGCTGGCGCAGAGAGAAGATCATGTCTATGGTTGACCTACCAGCGCGAAAACCATATTGCGATTCTGGGAGTACATGCGATTTTAGGGTTTGTAGGCGTGTTAATGCAACTCGGGCGAAAGCCTTTCCAACCAAGCAGAGGAGGGAGATTCCACGATAGTTGTTGCAGTCACTCTTGAGTCTTTTATTTTTGTACAATGTAACGATGTTTGCATCTTTCAACTCTTGTGGTAGCTGTCCCTGTTCCCAGCACAGAATAAGGAGATCGTGCAAGGGCCGTAATAGTACTCCTTTTCCACATTTGAGAGCTTCTGGTGGGATACCATCATTGCCCGGGGCTTTCCCACTGGCGAGACAATCGATGGCTCTACGTAGCTCTTCTATGGTGGGTAGGGTATCAAGCTCCTACAAAACCGGTAAGTCTGGAATATCGTCCAGGGCAGCGGTTGAGACTTGATTTATCGTTGCGTATATTTCCAAGTAGTGCTCTATCCACCGCTTTAGTTGTTTATCTCGATTAGTAATAATTTCCACTGATTTGGACATTAAGGGCGCAGTCTTGGAGATCAGACGGCCTGTTGCTTGCTTTATATTCTCGTACATTGACTTTGCATCACCTCTATCAGCAGCTGATTTTTATGCTGGAACTAAGATTGAGCCAGTATGTGTCTTGGCGCTTTTAAGCGATTGTAGAGTTGCTGGGCAATGTCTTATTTTATATGTTTTGTTAATAATTGTAAAGCGCTTAGAGCTTTAAGGTAAGCGCTATATAAAAATGCCTAAATAAATAAATAAATAAATAAATAAGCTAAGAGGGCCTTTCTTTTTGCATCGGTGACATGTTTCATTTCCTGCCAATGGGCCTCGCACCAATCTGCACTTTTGCGTTCTCTCTTTCCAAAATGACGTGATAGCCGAGTTATAGATAGTGTCCCGCAAATGTGACCATTTGGACTCGATAGTGTCCATTGGTGGCGTTTGTACAAGAGCTTCTTGTAGACTATGGGTGTATACTTCTGTTCTCTCTGGGTTTTTGGTGGAGCAGATGTTTATGCGTGGTTTACTATTGTTTTTTGTGAGATACAATTTCTTTGGCTGTAGCCTTATCTTGCTTGCCACTAAGGAATGATCAGTGTCGCAGTCTGCTCTATGGTAGCTGTCCCAGTTGTGTGCGTCTTGTGATTATGAGATCTAACTGGTGCCAGTGTTTAGAGCGGGGATGCCTCCATGATGTATACAATATATACGAAAGATATTCAAAGCTCAAGCGACACCGTTCCAATCTTCAAATTTGCTGATGATATCACCATTGTTGGTTTAATATCTGAAGGAGAAGGCATATACCGCAACATAGTTACGAGCTTTATCAATTGGTGCGATGAAATTTTTCTACAGTTGAATTTCTCAAAAATTAAAGAAATGGTTGTAAATTTCAGGAGGGGGAAACACCAGATTACAGATCTCAACATAAACAAATCAAAATGTGGAGAAAATTGAGGCATACAAGTACTTAGGTGTCACCATTAATAATAAGCTAACATGGCATGAGCACGACCAAATGCTGTATAAGAAATTCAACCAAAGACTTTTCTATCTCAAAAAACTGTACAATTTCGGCGTAAACAAGCAAGTCGTTAACTGTGTGTTAAGAGTGCAACTATTGGAAGCCTGCTTAATTTCAATATTACCTGCTGGTGAGGGAATTCAACGTCTGATATTAAACACAACATAAACCAACTAATCAAGAAAGCTAGAAACATAACACAAACTAAACATCCTTTACTGGAAGAACTATTTGAAGAAAGATGTTTTTGCAAACCTAGACACATTTTGGATGATACATCCCACTCTCTTCATCACAAATGGTTTGGATCGGGCCGGTCGGGACGAATTCTTTCCATCAGGGCGAGGACTGGCAGATATAAAAATTCTTTTGTTCACCAATCTGTACGAATTTACCGGCATGCTACCTCTGAAGTCACACATCTGAATGAGATCTAATTTTGCTAAGAGAACTTACTGAATGGCTGTTTGAAATAATTTATTATAAATGTCTTGTGTTCAAATTGTTTTATTTTTTAGCTAAAAATGTATAATGCAATCAAAAAACATTTCCATTTATTTGGATAAATAAAAGAATCTTATCTTATCTTATCTTATCTTATCTTATCTTATCTTATCTTATCTTATCTTAAAAAATAGTCACCCCATAAAAGCAAAATTTAAAAAAAAAGCCAACTCTACACTTGGCTTCATTCGAAGAAATATGAGCCACTGCCCGATTTCCTGCAAACGAAACGAAGTGGCTATTCGTACCCGGGTCCCAAAAGTGAGAGGTTTGGATTAAAAATCAAAATTAAAAATATTATTGTTAGGTTTGTAAGTCAAAATGAAGTATCAAATGACACATAATTGAATGGACTATATGTTTGTAAACTTCAATCTTCAGTTCAACTAAAAAAAACTACAACAAATGACATCCGAAAAGCATTGGTCTAATGGGACCTGGGTGCGAATGGCGGCGCTGCGTGTCCTGGGCTATTTTGACTAAATGGAAATGCTATTCGGATGTCATTTGTGGTATTTCATTTTAGTTAAACTGACGAAGTGAGTGTAAAAAAATATAGTTCATTCAATTATCTTTCAATTATCTTTCATTTGATACATCATTTAGTTTTGCATACCAAAAATAATATTTTTGAATAGTTTTTAATCCCAACCTCTCACTTCTGGTACCCGGGTACGAGTAGGCGCAGCCCGAATAAAATGCCTATCTTGCACTTGTCCTTCCACTACTAGAATATGGTGCGATCATCTGGTACCCACTCCTAGACATGGAAAAGATGGAGCGAATTCAACGTAACGCGGTGCGCTTCATCGCACGTGACTACAAATCCACCACTTCTGGCTTCATCATTGGCCTCTCAAAAAGACTTGACATCCCCTTCCTTAAAGACAGACGAGAGGGACTCCGCCTTATATTCTTATACAAAGTGGTTATGGGGCTGGTGCCGGCCATCCCAGCAGGCGCGTACTTCACCCAAAGAAGCCAGGTCGATTGATCAGAGCCAAACACTCACTGAACACTGATTTCACTACTTACAATCCGATAAAGAATTACACCCGAAACAAAGCAAATGCTTCACCTGGCATCGGTATCACTCAGTAAAGCATAATCAATCATTCTTCCCAAGCACAATAATTGATTGGAACCACCTGGACAATGCCGCTGTGCACTCGAAATCAGTCGAAAGATTCAAGACTGCCCTGACTTTTGATAGGAGCTTTTGGAATAGCAACATTGCTCCCCAATTGTTGCACATATGGCAGTATATTGATGCAGCAACGCACACTACCAGAACCAGAATTGTGTGGTGATCTGACTTATGTTTTGACTTTGAAAGGTATCTCTCTTCTTCTTCTTCTTCTTCTTCTTTATTTTAAGGGCCCACGATCAATGAATTGATCATTCTGGCTCCTATGTTTCAGAGGGGTTTGCGATGTTACTGTCCATGTGTTTCAATGGGATACTTCACTGGTTGCAAGGGCGACTCAGCAGTGGTGTTATGAACTGGGGGTTGGAATACAGGAGGCAATAGACACAAATGTATCGAGTGTAGCCGCCTCAACTGTTGCTTTTGGAAGCTTGTTCCAGTCCCCTATTGTCTTCGGCAGGAATGAGGAGCTTCTGTACTTTGTTCTTGTTTTTACCAGCCGGAACTGTTTGTCGTGACTTCGTCGCAGTCTGGGGGGAAGATTAACGAGTTTCTGTTTGATTCCGGAGCAGTGCACCAGCCCATTTGTTATCTTGTACAACATGGTGAGCCTGGATAGTCGTCGTCGTTCTTCCAATGTCGACCAGCCCAGTGTTTCCAGCATGCTGCCAACACTCGAGGTGCTTCTGTAGCGGTTCATGACAAAGCGTGCTGCCCGTCGCTGGACCGCCTCCAACCTGTCTATGCTTTTCTGGGTAAATGGGTCCCAGACTGTAGAAGCATACTCTAAAATAGGTCGGACAAAGGCTTTATAGGCTTTTTCTTTCACGCTTGAGTTGCCGATCTTCAGATTGCGCCTTAGGAACCCCAGGGTCTTGTTTGCCCGGTTGCACACACTGTTAATGTGCTCGTCCCAGCGGACCTCTCTTTGGATGGTAACACCCAAGTACTTAACGGAGGAAACTGGCTCTCTTATGAGATATTATATGTTCACTCTGTCAAGGGGATTAATTTAATGAAGTGATATTGCCGCACAAACATAATATCCTATCTTTATACTATTAGATTGAAACGAAGTCTTTATCAGAGGGGAAAATAACTGCAAGTATTTTGTTCACGATAGTTATTTATATTAACTTCATAGTTCACACCTTTGTTAGAGAATATATACAAAATGGAATTTAGCAAAATTTTTAATGTATCTTATTTCATTATAAGTGTCCCTAAAATGCTGATATCATCATCATTATAAATGCTACATTTGCTCAAGGTCATATCTTCAATCAAGGCTGAGTTAGCCTTAGAAAATATCTCAGTTGATCTCAGCGGATCAATAAGTTTTGGAGTTTCTTCCGTTCCAGAAGTGTGTCCTCCGTTCCTGTCTTCGGGGCTTTTCAAAGCGAAGCGAAGTAGGCGTTCATGGTCGTAGAAGGCGTCAACTTCTTATTGTTCCAAGAGTTTCCGGTCGATCTCTGTGATAGGGGAAGTAGACTCTCGAGTGATAAATAGTGGCTGATAAGAGTCCCTGAATCTCAAGGTCCTTACCGTAGCCGTAGGTTATTTGGTGTGAGACATGACAAAAGATCCTCTAGTTTCAGCTTCAAGGTGCGTTGGTTCAGTAAGAAAACAAACAGTATTCTAGGTTGCAGGTACTGATCACGATAATGAAGTCCTAAGTATACCAGGCTACAGCGTTCACAACCAAGTGAAATGATCATTAAAGGACACATTCTAATATGTTTCTGCTATTTATTGAAGTTGGGGAACAATTTTAATTGATTGGATTAAAAGTTGTTTATTTTCCCAACCAATTACAATCAGTCTCATATTACAGATTTGACCTTCCACCTAGAAAAATTATAGGAGAATGAGAGGGTGAATACAAATCACGATTTTGCATGCGCTGTCGTACTTCGGAAGCCTATAACAATGGAGATAACTCGGGTTATTATTATACTGCAAAGGCAAGGGTGAGAAGGGGGTATTATTTTACAGGGTCGAGTTTACGGTGGAGGAATTTTTCAATGTCCAGTCTTAAACATCACAAATAACAGACAATAAAAAAACTTCTTCTAGCTAGGCCTACTATTATTTAGTTAAAAGTTCTTTTTTTTTTCCTTTTTTCAGAATTAACACAATTAAGAGAAGACCAACTCTTTGGTTTACCTCTGGATCTTCTCATGAAAAAAGACACCTCGTTTAAAAATAATGGACCACATCTTAAAATTCCTTCTTTGTTATGCTTGGTACGTTTTTCTGTTATGTTAATTTACATTAATTTATATTTAAAGTTAATTTTTTGATAACTTGATAGTGGAGCTTTTAGATAGCAGTTTATTTATTTTCATTAGCCGTGATTGGTTTGGTTTTAATTTTCTTTTTAACCAAAATTAAAAAATAACACCACAAAGCAGGCTATAACAAAAACGTTGAAATAATTGACGAATTTTTTGACATTTTTCATTTATTTTATATCTAACAAGGATATTTTTTTTAATAAATGGTATCGGTTATATAAAGAACATTTTAAAATATGCAAAATATCATTTTATGCATTCTAGCTGCTTCAATTTATCCATAAAAATGGCCAAACTACCCAAGGCATATTCAAAGCTCCAGAAAGCAGTACCAAGGTCAAGGTAGGATTTGGTATTTTAAATTAATTTTGTATTCTGTTAAAATGGAGTTTTAAATTACTTTATTATGTATAAGGGAATTTTTTTATAATGTATATTTTGTTATTCATTACAAAAAAATAAGGTAAGATTTTGACATTACCAAGAATTAATTATATTTACATACCTAGAGAAAATAAACAGAATGCATTTTTTAATATCTGCGAGTCAAGTAAATATATGCTGAAAGATAATTCGGATGCTACTCTTTCAAATGTATTTACTAGGGTTGTCTGTTGATTTCGCTTTACAAAGTCAACACGTCTTGTTGTTAACAGCCACTTGAAAGATCAAATGATTGTCTTGGGGCATTAGAATAATAATATGTATTCTCTTCGCTAATGAATCTCCACAAATATTTTTAATGCTGAAAAGGAAAACAGAATCTTATCTTTTTTTTCCCCTTCAAAAAACTTTTGTTACACCATTCATCACCGTCCTCTTTGGCAGTCCCAGCGCACCCTAAATTTACAACACAAAAATTGTGCCACCTGAGCCTTCCACCCACATTGAGAACCACTGTTCTAATGAATCAGGAGCGCTTCTGTAATTTGGTTGCAAAGTTTTTGTAGTATGTTTTTCTCTCTAAGACAGTTTTGTGGTCAACATTTTGAAAGTTCATAAAAATTTTTTTTTTTTTTTGCTTTAAAAAAAACGCCTTTAGTGAAACCGTACAAAAGTAGAGTTTCATACTCCGTTTCCGGTTGACAAGTCTGTGGCTGCTTGTCGATTAGGAGGCGTCGTCGGCCACCAACCCCTTCAACGTTACCCAGGAAACACGACCCCTGGGTGCGTTCTGCGTGGGCAGACAAGGGTCGTGCTCGGTACTTGCCGTAAATAAAACAGCACTGACAGGGCTGCCAGTTGTGACGCTTCACAACTGGAAGAAAATGCAGAAACAGGGAAGTGATCATGTTTACAAGTTGCAGTTGATGGATTTGAGGCGAGAGGTAAAAATGGTAACCTGTAACCGATGATCTTACTATGCAGCCTTGAGAAGCTGATCCAAGGCAACCGTTTCGTCCCAGCTACTTCGAAAATTAGTTGCGTGGTGGAAACCCACTGTAGAATCCTTTTTATAGGCGTCCAACTTTTCCACGGGTTGTGTGGGGAAGATATTAGGACGTACATTTACAATCCAATTTCCTGAGAAAGTCGATCGTGTGCACTGTGTGCAAACACGGTATCGATACAACCGGGTGTCTTTGGGTTGGGGCGGGCCCACCAGCGGTTCCCGATTGAGCGAGCTCGGGTGGGGGGCTGTAGTGATACTGGGCTTACGGTGTGCTTTGGGGAAGACATAATGAGCTCTAAGCTCGACGCCCGCTAACGCCATTACTTAATGTAATATTTCATACGGCCAATCTTTTCGTGGATCAAGACAAGAAATGTAAATAGTCATGTATCATGTCAATAAAGTTTACCGCATCCAGCCTGCAATCAACAGCAGAGCAGCCCCTTAAATTTGATGAGTGACGTCATTCTGCACACCGTTGTAAAAACAACCGAGAAATGGCGGTAGGATGTGAGGGTAGGGGAGGGTAGGTATTAGGATGAGGTGGGATGGCAGGGTTGGCAGTAGGATGAGGTGGCAGGGTAGGGTTGGCAGTAGGCGCAGAAGGAATGGTATGGTTGGCAGTAGGATGAGAAGGGAGGGTGCGGTTGGCAGAAGTTTGAGGAGGGAGGGTAGAGTAGGCAGTTGGATGAGGTGAGACGTTAACGTAGGCAGTAGGATGAGAAGTGAGGGTAAGGTAGGCAGTAGGGTGAGAAGGGAGGGTAAGGTAGGCAGAAGTATCAAAAGGGAGGGTAAGGTAGGCAGCAATATGAGGAGGGAGGGTAGAGTAGGCAGTAGGATGAGGTGAGACGGTAGGGTAGGCAGTAGGATGAGAAGCGAGGGTAAGGTAGGCAGTATGATGAGAAGAAGGCTAAGGTAGGCAGTATGATGAGAAGGGAGGGTAAGGAAGGCAGTATGATGAGAAGAAGGCTAAGGTAGGCAGTATAATGAGAAGCGAGGGTAAGGTAGGCAGTAGGATAAGAAGCGAGGGTAAGGTAGTCAGTAGGATGAGAAGGGAGGGTAAGGTAGTCAGTAGGATGAGAAGGGAGGGTAAGGTAGGCAGCAGTATCAAAAGGGAGGGTAAGGTAGTCAGTAGGATGAGAAGGGAGGGTAAGGTAGGCAGTAGGATAAGAAGCGAGGGTAAGGTAGTCAGTAGGATGAGAAGCGAGGGTAAGGTAGGCAGTAGGATAAGAAGCGAGGGTAAGGTAGTCAGTAGGATGAGAAGGGAGGGTAAGGTAGGCAGTAGGATAAGAAGCGAGGGTAAGGTAGTCAGTAGGATGAGAAGCGAGGGTAAGGTAGGCAGTAGGATAAGAAGCGAGGGTAAGGTAGTCAGTAGGATGAGAAGGGAGGGTAAGGTAGGCAGTAGGATAAGAAGCGAGGGTAAGGTAGTCAGTAGGATGAGAAGCGAGGGTAAGGTAGGCAGTAGGATAAGAAGCGAGGGTAAGGTAGTCAGTAGGATGAGAAGCGAGGGTAAGGTAGGCAGTAGGTTAAGAAGCGAGGGTAAGGTAGTCAGTAGGATGAGAAGGGAGGGTAAAGTAGCCAGCAGTATGAGGAGGGAGTTTAGAATAGGCAGTAGGATGAGAAGGGTGGAGTAGGTGGTTGTATTGAGAGACAGTGCGGGATAGGCAGTAAGAGAATGATGGAAATAAAGTTAATGGTAACCTAGAACAAGGAATCGCAAACTTTGTTTCGGCTACCCTTCACACAATTAACTCAACTTCAGCGCCACCGAAAAAAATAATTCTTATAATTTGAGTACAGTTGCTAGCCATACTCTGGAGGAGAGTTAAAACTATCAAATGTTTTCAACTATCAGACATGCCGGCTTAAGGCATTGGTCGGCTGCCTGAAGTTCTAGCTTGAGGCATTGGTCGGCTGCGTGAAGTGGCACTTTTCAACGGGCGGCAATTTAAAGAGAAAAATAAATATGGGGCAGGGAAAGAAACAATGAAAATGAAATTAATTAAATGAGTTTTATAACGTTAACTTTAAAAAAGTTTTTCTATATAATCAGCTCCCGCCCCCTTGGGTAGTCTACTGAGAATTTTAGCGCCCCCCGGCATCCACCCCGCTAACTTTGAGAAACCTTGATATAGAATATAGATATTTATATTTTAATAATCGTGAGGGCTAACTAAGTTTCTTCCATCATTACAAAACTGGCAACATCTTCTAAAGTCTGTGTATTATTTTGATCACTCTGCCCCTATCTCAAAAATGTTTTGAGTTAACAAACATTTAGAAAAACAGCAAACTATCGATCCAGAGCTCATTTTATCTTACCCAATATCCCCCCCCCCCCCATGCCCAATTTGCGAAATTCTAGTCGGGCCGCAAAGCGACACGTAGTGGATATTCCGCACCCGCCTTCTACTCGATTGACTGCTAGTGGGGCGGCATCAGTGAAGGAACACCTGGTATGCTGGTGGTGCTGCTCTCGCAGCACCCGGTCAGCTGGTGGTGCTGCTCTCACAGCACCTGGACGGCTGGTGTTGATGCTCTCACAGCACCTGGTTGGCTGGTGTTTTGCTTCTCTCACAGCACCTGGTTGGCTGGTGTTTTGCTGCTCTCACAGCATCTTGTTTGCTGGTGGCGCTGCTCCCACAGAACCTGGTCGTTGTTGGGGCTGCTCTCACAGCACCGTGGCGGTTGGTGGTGCTGCTCTCACAGCACCTCAATTCGAAACTTCTATGGGCTTGGATGGATATATTTTAAAGTCCTCGAAAAAATCACCCCTTCCCATCCCATGGTAACGACCGACGCGCTCTAACAGGGTCTCTACAAATGGTTTCTACTTTGTGATTAGGTCACATTGTAGTTGAGACGAAACGGTTGCCTAGAGACAGTCAACTATATCCTTCAATCGATTCCTAATAATATTATTACATTAAGCTATATCCGCGAACGATCATCAACAGCATTATATTGAACGATATTTATCAGGCACACTATCTCTAACGCCAGAAGATAAAAAATGTGTTTTACCGTCACATAATCCTTTCTACCGTGAATTTGAACGATGTCTTGACTGCCATTTAATGTATAACGTTGTTTTTGTTAATTCATCTCCCAGAAACTAAAAGAGGATATAGAAGCAAACTTGTACAAAAGCCCAAACTATGAAATATCTAACGAATATAATGCCCATGACGTAGCGGCTGCCCTCAAAGACTTCATTGCTCAGCTGCAAATGCCTCTCATGACAACACCTGTGCTCCAATTTTTCCCAGATTTTTTTGGTGAGTAGTAACTGACTTAAATGACTGACTAGGTCAGTACATTACATCTCTAGATCCAGAGCATTGCATTACCGTTTTCAATTACTGAGTAATCTGAAAGAACAAATTGAAATTTGAATTAAAACAGTCACTTATGTTCCTATTTAGTACGAGGAATGGAGACCAGGGACCTATTGAAGGGATTGAGATTTTATAATCTAATGATGGCACCAGAACACAGAGACTCATTACAGGTAAATTAACACGATCATGTCCTATACTTAAATACATGTGTACATTCAGGGCCACACCACCCGCTCCTCGGCCTAGGCTATTTTATTGCTTCATTTAATGATGTTGATTTATTCAGTTTTGAATTAACACTTACTGTCTAGTTTTACCATTACTGGGAATACTCCATGTACCTAACCATATTCCTCATACTTCGTGTACCTTATTCCCCATACTCCATGTACCGAACCATATTCCCAATACTCCGTGTACCTAACCTTATTCCCCATACTCCATGTACAGAACCATATTCCCAATACTCCGTGTACCTAACCGTATTTCACATACTTCGTGTACCTTATTCCCATTACTCAGTGTACAGAACCATATTCCCAATACTCCATGTACCTAACCACTTTCCCATAATCCATAAAAACGTATATGTTAAAGAAGCCCTGGACAATTAATGTATATACAAAAGAGATATAGGTTAATATAAGTGTTCGCAACCAGTTTTCTTTCAGACCATATCCCCAAGGGGGTGGGGACTTAAGGTTTTCGGGGGGGGGGGAGTGCCAGTGGAAAGAGGCTGTCTAAGGTGGGCATAGGGAACATATGTCAACTTATGCCAGACTATCGGGGGCATACATGGGCTACAGTTTTAATGGATGGGGGGGGGGGGGGGGGGGGTTGGAATAAACAATGAATCTTGTCCCCTGGCACTAAAGACACACGCCAGTGACGTAGAATGAAGGGGAAAATATTTGGTCTTCCGAGGTGTCATTTTTGTATAGATTGAGCGGCGGGATTTTTGGACAACTGCAGAGTTACTATCGAGAAAGGCGGCGCGGCAAAAAAAATAACCCACCTAGGGTGACGCTAAAACTAGGCACGCCGCTGGACAGTGTATATATCAGTACCAACATTGGTTGTCAGAGCAAGCAATGCCGCCATTTGTATCGGGAATTAAGGCAGACATCAAGCATCCCGTTGGCTTTTCCCTAACCAGAAAATGTTTGATTATTTAACAATCAAGAGATGCATTTTGCAGTGCAAATTGTATGTATCTTTCAGACAATGTGTGAAGGGGCATTTCAGACTTTCATAAATTTACTATTAGATGTCTCGTGGAGAAATGCTACGAATACAATATAAAAATACACTAACTATGTGTGAACTACAAATCAGATTATGATAGCATAGACAGGAAATACCAGTACGATGCTCTCCTGGAACTTGGAGTCCCTAACAAACTTATCAGACTCATACATATGACGATGGATAACTCCAAAAGTATAATCAAAGTACAGATAGAGTACTCAAGAGAGTTCCCAAATAATCAGTAATTAGAAACATACATGTGAGCACTGGAGAGGTAATACAGAACAACCATAAGGAACTTTATAAAGCCAGCCACTACAGTCCTTGGCATACACAGACGATATAGCGCTACTTGATAAAAACAGCAATACTATAATTAAAGCTTTCAGTTAGTTAAGATTGTAGGTGTCACTTGGCTTTGGAGCCATCGTGTGGGGTCTGCAATATAGCTGCATGGGGCCTCGCATATTTTTGGGGCTTAAAGTTTTGCTGTAATTACTTTAAATTATCAACTTTTGGTGCTAGGAACGGAAGGACAAAACTGAAGAGTAGCAGGATGGCACAAAAAGTCAAACAACCTCTCTGTTTGACTAAGTGTGTTATACACATATATATAATTTTTTTTATTCTGTCGAAGAGTAATGTGTTGTTTTTAGTTTAAATAAAGTATTTTTGGGGTAAAGTACATAAAAATAATAAATTTACTACAATATATTTTAAATTTTAAAAAAAGTATTTCTTACGAAAAAAGAATCCATCATAAAAAAAAAAAAAAAAAAAAAAAAAAAAAAGAAATGCTAAAATAGTTTCACATTTTTAACAAAAAAAGAAAACCCCATAGACATACATTTATTGTTAAATATTTTCAAGTGTTACCAAAATCAAAAAGAAAAAAAATCTGTAGAAAGAGCTATACTTTGTATGAGTTTTCAAAATTTGTCTTTATTTATAAATCGTATGTAACCGACATAATTGTTAAGAGGACATGAGTCGTTTACAAAAGAAATGATATATTTATTAATTTGTGATTTTTTTGTGAAGGAAATCGTATAAAATTAAGTTTAAATTCTTAATATTCAGTTGGTTGAAATGTTAATTTAGATTTTCAAACTACTATAATTTGCTTCACCTCAATTACAACGTGCCAATTCGATATTTTACTTTAAACCATTTTGTTTTACCCATTCAATAAAATTTCTTTTTAACTACTATTGCTGACCCTGACATTAACAAGGTATTGCTGACCCTGACATTAACAAGGTATTGCTGACCATGACATTAACAAGGTATTGCTGACCCTGACATTCACAGGGTAAAGCTGACCCTGACATTCACAGGGTAAAGCTGACCCTGGCACTAACAAGGTAAAGCTGAACCTAACACAACTAGTGTATTCTCACCCCCTCCGCTTATTGGCTTGAGACGGAATAAAATCTATTTGAACGTCTGTGTCACCGCCGGCTTCGAACCGACCCCTATCACGTCGAGACTAAACTATTTTGAATAAGCCGTTCTAGGACTTGACCATATGGTCTCGAAACTAAGCACTTTGGCTTCTCTGGGTGGACCTTGAAACTGAAAGAGTCAAAAGGGGATCTATAAGGCCAGAGATCTGAACCGTTTAAGCGCCGCTACCTCATGATAACATGTAACAAGTTGTGGTGAACAACGAAAAGGATTTTTCCCAGTAATTGTGAAACAGTTTTGAAGAAGTATTAGGAATAAAAAGTGGTGTTGACATTGCCAGTGGATGACATCAACCCTAGTAATGCCACTACTAGATTGTGCTTCATACTCAGTTCTAGAAACAGTCAATACTGTTTATTTGCAGCTATAGATATTTGCTAGTTTAATTATTCTAACCTACGGATATAGTTGCAATTTTTTTTTCTTACTCATTTCTTAGCGAAAGATATACATGCAAGGTTTGTCTATTTTTAGGTAATGTCGTTCAATCTCAACATTTGATATTGTAGCGCAGAGCATCATAAACTTTTTACTCACTGTGACCTTTTAGAATCAATTTCTATCCTTGACACCACACCACTAGGCCTACCATTTGTCTTACAAGTTAATATGTTTCATTACATTGTATCTGCCTGGCACCTACTTTGTTATAATCAGGGGAGGTGCAAAATAGCTCATGCGTGTGGGGCTAAGGAGAGTGGCCGCTCTTGGCACAAAAATTAGGGCCCTCAAAATAGTGAACTAACTATGGACAGTGTACAGCAAACATGCTAGAATGTGTACAGCAAACGTGCTAGATAGTGTACAGCAAACATGCTAGACAGTGAACAGCAAATATGCTAGACAGTGTAAAGTGAACATGCTAGACAGTGTAAAACAAACATGCTAGGCAGCGTACAGAAAACATGCTAAACTGTGTACAGCAAACATGCTAGACGGTGTACAGCAAACGTGCTAGTCTATGTACTGCAAAAATGCTAGACTGTGTACAGCAAACATGCTAGTCTATGTACTGCAAAAATGCTAGACTGTGTACAGCAAACATGCTAGTCTATGTACTGCAAAAATGCTAGACTGTGTACAGCAAACATGCTAGACTGTATACAGCAAACATGCTAGACGGTGTACAGCAAACATGCTAGACGGTTACAGCAAACATGCTAGACGGTGTAGAGCAAACATGCTAGAAGGTGTACAGCAAACATCCTGGACGGTGCACAGCAAACATGCTAGACAGTGTAAAACAAACATGCTAGACTGTTTACAGCAAACATGCTAGACGGTGTACAGCAAACATTATAATGTGCAGCAAACTGTGTACAGCAAACAAGCTGGACGGTGCACAGCAAACATGCTAGACAGTGTAAAACAAACATGCTAGACTGTTTACAGCAAACATGCTAGACGGTGTACAGCTAACATTATAATGTGCAGCAAACTGTGTACAGCAAACAAGCTAGACTGTGTACAGCAAACATGGTAGACAGTAAAAAGCAAACATGCTAGACAGTTTTACATTCGAAGTACAAACAACATGTATATACAAATATAAACATTAAAGATGTATGTATGTACATTGTACATAAATAGGCCTTTATCTATAAGCTGACCAGATTTTATGGATGGAAAGTACGGACAAAAAAGCTCACAGTAACCGGAACCATACCAGGATGGGGGGAGGGGGGTGTTCTCGTTTTGTATCGGACAACTCCCCCCCCCCCCCCCCCCCAAAAAAAAAAAAAAACACCAAAGAAATGAAATAATTTAATAGATAATTGTGACGTTACGAGAAGATTTAAAAAATGTGTCGGGGGTTTATGGCGACAGGTTGGCCAGTCCAGTGGTCCCCATAATATGCATCGCTCTAGGTACCATGTTGCCCTCGGTCAAAGCTATGAAAATGGGGCAAAGAGAGCTGTAACAGCGGGAGTCAAAATCTTCTTTAGATGTGATCTTAATAGTGAATTAAAAGTTCAAACAGTAAAAAAGAAATGAAATACAAAATTTTAAAATTTTAAAACTCTTAGCTGAAAAGTAGTATCCGAGAGGGCAGCAGAAGAACAGTGAAAACCTAAATTTGGAATAAGCGCCGGGAATTGAAACATTATAGGAACCACTGAACTACCACGTTGGAGATGCGTTGGACAAGATATTACTGTAATACTGCTACTACTGAGTACTATTGAAGCGATTTCTAGCTACTTCATTTAATGAAAAGAAAAGGCAACATTATGACAATAATTCCTACACAAAATTGCCTGATTGGGTACTTTATTAGAGTTATAAATTTTGGACTGTCAGATGAAGCTGAAACTATTCACTGCACCTGCCTTCGTCGAGAAATAAGACAAGACAGATGGAAATAACACAAGCAAGTCGTCACTGCAAAAAGTACAGACAAGCCGGACGACGAGAAGAAAGTAAAGACAGAAAAGGATGTCGGTACCCTACTTTTTCGTAGAAAAGGCCGGAGGGGGGGGGTGTTCCATGTAAGAAAAAAGTAGGGGGAGGTAGTTAAAACCGGTGTGCTTTTTATGTTTACGAGGGTGGCCATGAAAATAAAGATGTTTGGAAAATTCATCAGAAGATTTCGCTTATACTTGTATTTTTCTGAGAATTAACTTTTTTTTTTTGAATTGGAACAATATAAAACAATTAAAAATATTAGCGAAATTACCTTAAATAATGTCTATATAAGACCCAATTCCTAAAATAGTTGGTGAACAAATCCATACCGTCGCAAAGTCAACAGAAGAAACAACTAAATATCAATGATTTTTATAAATACCCCCATGCCTAGAGACAACTAAATATAAATGATTTAATATTAACACCACCATGCCTAGAAACAACTAAATATAAATCATTTAATATAAACACAACCATACCTAGAGATAGCTAAATATAAATGATTTTTTTTAAATTCAACCATGCCTAGAGACAACTAACTATAAGTGATTTAATATAAATACAACAGTGCATAGAAACAAGTAAAATAGAAATGATTTCTATAAACACAATCATTCCTAGAAACCACTAAATGTAAATGATTTAATATAAATACAACCGTGCCTAGAAAATAGATATGACTGAATAAAAATTATACAACAATGCCTACCAACTAACTAACTATCAATGATTTAATATAAATAAAACTGTGCCTAGAGACAACTAAATATAAATGATTTGTATAAACACAACCATGCCTATAAACAACTAGATACAAATGATTTAATATAAACACAACCATGCCAAGAGACAACTCGATACAAATGATTTAATATAAACTTAATAAACACAACCATGCATATAAACAACTAAATATAAATGATTTGTATAAATACAACCAGGCCAGGGCCACTAAATGTAAGTGATTTTTTAAAAACACAACCAGACCTGGAGACACCTTATTTTCCATTAGCATCTTCTCTGCTACTCTCCAATAAGTAAAGGGAAGAGTGTTGGAAGACCCAAAAAAAAATCCGGTAGGTTCCACAATTCATCCATGCATTTTGAAATATTTAAAAATACTGAAGAAGGGCTAAATAATATTTTTAATGAGGTAAATAAATATCATTTAGAATCTTTCCTCGTGTATACATGACATTTTAATGGCATGGTTAATTTTTGAGGTACGTAATATTTTTATGACGTGTTTTTTATTTATTACTAACATGCACTTTGTTTTATTCCAAAGATGCTCCTAACAGTTCTCAATGCCCTGACACAAAACAGTGCAGAAAATGGATTGACAGTTGAAGACTGTGCTAATATTTTCTGGCCGGTCTTGTTCTCACTTCCGCCTGACTGTTCAAAGGAAGAGACTGCGAAAAGAAAGAAACAATTTTTTGACCTCACCAGAGTGTTTGTGCATTACAATGATTACCTCTTTACGGTAATGACCTGTGATGCACCCTCCTTGCCCTGCCTCATTTTCTGTCTCGGGTTGATCCTGTAGTATAGGCCAAAACGGGCCAAAGTGTCCTCGTTTTATAGCCATTTTAATTGTTTATATAGTATAGTAGTTACTATCCTAGTGTCTCATTTTTATTGTACTTAGTTTACATGTTTTTAATAATTGTAAAGCGCTTAGAGCTTTAAGGTAAGCGCTATATAAAAATGCCTAAATAAATAAATAAATAAATAAGGGATCTGTCAGTGACATTTAATAGTTAAAATAATTGCAGCTCGTCTGCATAAAATGATGTATATGGCATTTCATCAAACAACTTAAATGGAATCACAATGGGGTTGAGGGCAGTGGTCAGGAGACTTTAGATGTTACATTACGAGAATAGTGTAATTTTTTCCATAAGTTTCTACTCACATTGGAAGTATGAACAAAATTGGCAAACAATGTTATGTCAACTTTTATTTAGACCCAGTCAAATAGGAATATGGGATACCAGATAAAAAAGGTGAAATAAAGCCTTTACTTTAAACTAGTAAAACTAGACATTTGGGAGTGCTAAAATCTCAAAATAGCCTTTCCAATGACACCATCGAGGTCCAGAGATGAGGACCCAGAAGCAGCAGATATGTTATAAAGATAACATAGTAATTTTGAATGCAGTTGTGTAAGGCATGTCAGCGCTTTTTGTTGGTAGTCTGAGGTCACTAAAAGTTCATCAATATATTTAAATATGATTTTTTTCTTTAGGTTTAAGTTGGAGTTGTTAGTAGAGATGGGGATTAAACTATTTTTTTCGTTAATCTAAGATCGGGTTCAGTTCCGGATCGGTAACAACAAGGAATGTAATACCATTGTTTTTCTTCAACATAACGGTTTTCGGTTTTAGAAATTCCATTTTAAAACCATTTTTTTTTAAAAATTAAGACACTCGCTAGAACTACCAAAGGAAGCAGACGCATTGGTCCACTTTCCAAACTTTTGTTCTATGGTGGTGCATCGGTGGTTTGATATTTATCTTGTAAAATCATCGTACAACTGCAGAGTACTTCCCCCTCTTCTACCACGACAATCTCACATAATCTAGTTCAGAGGTTCTTAAAATATGACCCGCAGATCAGATCCGGCCCATCAGAGGTCTTCAACACGAAGCTCCAGGCTGTCGTACGGGTACCCGGGTACCTCTGTGTAAATTAAATTTCGTGTTTTATGGATGCGTGTTTTGGTGTGGAGAGTAATCATGTAGCTTTGGCCATGTGCTTTGTATTTGGGTGTGGCTGACTGGTGACGTTTTTATTTATCTATTGTACTGCTTGTCTCAGTAACCGGTTCGTAACACTGATTTATGAAACTGGACATTGACAATTGCATTAGCCCAGATCTGGCTTAGACATCCCATTGATATATTAAAAAGTTTGTTAAATTGAAATTGTTCTTTATTTAAAAGTTACTTTGTTTGGTTTTGAGGATACTATTTGTTTACACTGGATAAAAAATAGTCCCCGCTACAATGTGTTTGGATTCAAATTGGCAGGATTAATGCGCAAAATGTGTTCTACCGGAGGAGGTGGGTAATTGTTTTGCAATAGGGTTTTCTAGTGTATTAATAAAATAAAAGCAATGCTTATGTAAGTTATAATGTGCCATATTCGTGAACGAAAATTCGGCTCTATAAGTTGTCGATTATTTCGTTGTTCATACTCAGTAAAGTTGAAGTTCGGGTTCAGTCGTCCGCAGGGTTCGGGTTCGATTCTTAACTCAGCGTGTTACCAAAGAACTCTGTCTCGGAGTTAGGATTAAGGTTAGGGCTAGGATTTAGCTCATATAAAAAAACTAATGTGATCATTGAGCTTACACTTATCTTCGCTGATGTGATTATTGAGCTTACACTTATCTTAGCTCATGTGGTCATTGAGCTTACAATTTCCTTAGCTCATGTGATCATTGAAGTTACAATTATCTTTGCTGATGTGATCATTGAGCTAACACTTATCTTAGCTCATGTGATCATTGAGCTTACACTTGCCATATCTCCTGTGATCACGGAGCATACATTTACCTAAGCTCCTGTGATCATTGAGGTTGCACTTATTTTAGCTCCTGTGATCATTCGGTCCTGATACTAATATACGAGTTTAAGTACCTTCATCATTCAGTGCATCCAGACAATACGACCAATATATCAAATGCACTTTTTGATAAGTCATGGAATAATAAAATGGGTTGAGAAAAGTAAGAGATGGGAGGTGGAGCAATCTAACAGTAATAAGTGTCACTGTCATAGATCAATATGACCACCCTAAGCCCTGTGTCACATCCTCTCTTCGTTCCCATCCTCTCTTCGTCGCCATTCTATCCTCGTCCCCATCCTCTCAACGTCGTCACCCCTTCTAGTTCCCATCTTATCCTCGTCCCCATTCTCTCAACGTCGTCACCCCTTCTAGTTCCCATCTTATCCTCGTCCCCATCTTCTCAACGTCGTCACCCCTTCTAGTTCCCATCTTATCCTCGTCCCCATCCTCTCAACGTCGTCACCCCTTCTAGTTCCCATCTTATCCTCGTCCCCATTCTCTCCTCGTCGTCAGCCCCTTCTCGTCCCCATCCTCACCTAGTCCCCATCCCCTCCTAGTCCCCCCCTCCTCATTCCCATCCTGTACTCACTCCCTTTGATCCGACAATTTTTAATCTACACATTTGTGATGTCTGGGTTTTTTCTCGTAAGGTGGTTACTCTGGTAGTTAAGAGTACTTCCCACTTTATAACTTACTCTATGATTTAATAAGATTAAATCCCTCTGTAGCTCACTCTATAAGAAGAAATCCCTTTCTAAAATGATATGATTACTTACATTCTTTTGTTTGACGCAGCCCTTACCTGTTCAGATAAAAGCCACCGACCGCTCAGGAAAAAAAGTTTTTAATTTTATATAATACATTTACACATAAAATAGAACTGAGAGACACACTACATATTTCCAGACATTTAATATGTTGTTATCAAGTTATTTCAGACATGTTAGGACTTTTACAGGTATCACCTGAAATACTTAATCAACTGAGACGATTGAGAAAAAGAGGGGATGAACCTAGCCCGGTATGTACAAATATAAGAATTGATCAAACTGAAACTTAAACTTGTAGGAACACAAATGACTCAAAAATCTTTTTTTTTCCCTTTAAATCAAAGTGACAACTCTACTTTGTCATCCATATTAATATTGAAAGCTACTATTAAAGGTTTTCTTAGAAATATTTTTTTAATCGTTTTATTATTATTACACTTGGATTTTCAAAATTTAAGTAAACGCCAGCAGTTACGATTATTATTTTTTAAAATGCTATCTTTATATCCCATTGTATTCTATGATTGTTAAAAAATACAACTTAGATCATTTCTTTTTATAGTCTAATAAATATGTATGTCAAACTATATTATATACATGCTCTTTACATATGTACTCTCATTATATTCCTTCCCGAAAAATACAATTAACTCATACTATTGCTTATCATGATACAAAGCATCTAACTTTTTTTTGATCAATCAAATTTTATATTTTCTTCTCGCGAATATAGAAATTTAATAAACAACTGGAACCTAGACATAGAATGGTGAGTATTATGTTTACATACATGCTAGAACCTAGGCCTAGAATAGTTAGTGATATATTTAACTAAATGCTAGAACCTAAACCTATAATTGTAAGTAGTATGTGTTCCTTAATGCTAGAACCTAGGCCTAGAATAGTTAGTGATTTGTTTAACTAAATGCTAGTACCTAGACATAGAATTGTAATTATTATGTGTACCTGAATGCTGCAACCTAGACCCAGAATGGTCAGTATTATTGGTTCATTAATGCTAAAACCTAGACCTAGAATGGCAAGTATTATGTGTAGATGAATGCTAGAACCTAGACCCCCAATGTTAAGTAGTATGTGTACATGAATGCTAGATCCTAGGCCTAGAGCGATAAGTATTTTGTTTATCTGAATGATGAAACATAGAACTGGAATAGCAATTATTATGCGTACATGAATGCTAGAACCTACACCAAGAATGGTAAGTTTTATGTGTATCTGAATGATAGAGCCTAGAACTAGAATAGTAAGTATTATGTGTAACTGAATGCTGGAACCTAGAATAGTTAGTATTATTTGTCCTCTAATGCTATTGAAATATCCATGTAATACTAACCTTATGAAATTATTTAATTTCAATTTGGGTCTAAAATGTCCGATGGAAAACACAATCTAACTCAAATCGGACGCAACACTACAGTCTATTTGAAACTGGACATGGATTTTTAAACTGTATGCGTAACACCAAATAAATTATTTAATTTCAATTTGGGTCTAAAATGTCCGATGGAAAACACAATCTAACTCAAATCGGACGCAACACTACAGTCTATTTGAAACTGGACATGGATTTTTAAACTGTATGCGTAACACCAAATGCTAAATAGATATTCTTCATGTACACAATGTAGGCCTACAATGAATTTGTTTATTAGTTTAATCATTTGGCGTGTTATGATACACTTGTCCTAAATCCTAGAATACTTTCTATAGAATACATGACGATTCTAATCATAGTTAGAAAAAAAAACATGAAATATAATACACATTAATTAAACATTCTATTGAATGCCTTAAATTCAAACTCTGCCTGTCACAATGTGAAATTTTTTATGATTTAGCGTTTAATTCTGGCACACATCCATACAATCAAATACAACGTTTAATTTTGGCACACATCCATACAATCAAATACAAATCATGGGTGAATCCTCACTTTCTCACACGTGAGCAACGTCAGTGGTTCTAATTCCTTGTCACGTATGTTTCTTCTTCCAGACTGCAATCTCCTTTGCGTCAATGGACCTTAAATCCCCAGAGTTTGAAGGCGGGCTCAAAAGGTTCCCATTTAACTCAAGTACAACAGCCGAGGAACTTGTGCAGTTTTCAACTGGCGAACAATTGTGAGACATTAAGAAGAAGTTCACCTATTTTTATTTTAAAATGTCAAACTCTAGTACCATAAAAGGTTCCCATTTAACTCAAGTACAACAGCCGAGGAACTTGTGCAGTTTTCAACTGGCGAACAATTGTGAGACATTAAGAAGAAGTTCACCTATTTTTATTTTAAAATGTCAAACTCTAGTACCAGGTCTAAATTTTAATTTTATACTTTTATAACACATTTTAGAGCTTGGGTCCTCAAATTGGATGTTGATAAATGTTACGGTATGGGGTTGATTATAAGCTTCTGCCAAATGAATACCCTGGGGCACGCGATAACCGGAGTGAATTCAGTTTATGTATGGCACTGGGGCCCATAGTGCCTCCCACAAAGCTTAAAAATGTCCTTCCCAGTTCAAAAAGTAGAATAGAACCATTGTATAATAAAAAAATACACCTCTTGATATTGAAATAAAAAACCTCCACCGATCATGATACTTCGGCGCCCTCAACTTCCGCTCTACTTCCCGATGAAAATGATCACCGATTTCGGTATCGATAATTACACTGCCTAGTGACGTAGCTACTAATAATGTCACCATAGGCGGCCAAACATTTTTGCAGCCCTCCCTTTCACGATACAAACTCTGCCAGTAGTTCAAAAATGCCACACGTTAAATCAGAAAAAATGACATCCCATCCGTCTTATTTCGACGCTACTAGCAGGGGCGCATCTAGAGTGTTTGGCGTCAGGGGACAAAATACATTTTTACGCCCCTCCCCCCTCAACTCTGAAACCCATTATTTTCATTCATTAAATACCATCAAAGCTCCTTAACCCGCCCCTCCCCGCTTGTCTGACGTTCCGGAACATATATCCCATCTGCCACCTCTTAGCTACGCCTCTGGCAGCTTACACTGCCCCCCCCACCCAAGAATCAGAAATCCACCCCCCTCCCCCTGGAAAAATTTCTGAAGAAATACTGCACAGGTCCCCAGATTTTTTGCATTAATTGTACACTTAATGAGCAGGATATATTCATGACAAGCATATTGTACATACAATTTGCTAGAACAACTATGAACTCTATCCGAGTTCTTGGTGCAAGGTAAGATACTCAAACGTTAAGTCTGGGTGCCCGCTTTTTTGTGTTGAACTTAGATATGATAGAAACCAATGCGAGCCTACTCTGTTCAATTTTCAGTTTTCCATTTGGTATAATCCCTTGTTGTGAAGGAGTCACCCCTGTGAGGGTGTCTATTTATTTTGGCTTACTTCAAATTCAGGACAGTGGTTCTCAACCTGTGGGTCACGACTTCTTTGGGGGTCGCACTACCCTTTCCCAGGGGTCGCCTAAGACCATCGGAAAACACACACCAAAGATAATCGAAAAAAATAATTGTGTGGCTGGGGGGTCGCCACAACATGAGGAAATGTATTAAAGTGTCGCGTAAGAAAGGTTGGAACCACTGGTTTAGGATTACCTCTTTATTTAGGATTTTTGTTAGTTTTTGCCACACTTAAATGTGTATTACGTCTTAGAGTAAGCTCTTTATTAAGTTCGGAACTGATAGGTTTTAGATCGATATGGTATTGATTTCTTGCTCACAGACCAATGGAAAGGCTCATGGAAAAGCTGAAGTGTCATATCCTGGGAAAGGACTCAAAAACATCTCATTTCTTGTTTGAAAATGGAGGAAATTTAGGTATGAGCTTACATACACTGATTTTCATACTATACAATTGGGTTATTCCCTATAGGCATCGTTGTTAACATTTTATTTATTTAATAAGTTAAAGTGGCACTTTTAGCTTCAAACTTTAATTAGTATATTTTTCATTTATTTTTTCTATCTTCTTTGTTCATTATTTTTCAATCATCTTTGTCAATTTGCTTTGTTTAATGTATTTCATTTTTTTTCCAAATTTAATATTGTATTGTCACTAGGGTTGCGAGGCAAAGAAATTATATGAGTTAATTGCTTGCTTTCACTTCTACTAACTATTCTTACACTTTGTTTCTACTAACTATTCTTACACTTTGTTTCTAGTAACCATTTTTACACTTTGTTTCTACAAACTATTGTTACACTTTGTTTCTACTAACTATTCTTAAACTTTGTTTCTACTAACTATTCTTACACTTTTTTTCTACTAACTATTCTTACACTGTGTTTCTACTAACTATTCTTACTCTTTGGTATGAGCTATGAGTGTTTATTTGTTGTTGTTTTCTTTAATAAATCGTCTCATTCATAACAAAAGAAGTAGCAAATTAAAGTATTAAATTCACATTTTGTTTGAACAGACCAATAAAATTGAACTTCCCAGTAACGTTGGGAAAATAAACCATTGGTTTTATTCTGTTACATCATATGTCTGATGGACATGATCCGTGACACGAAAAAACAAAGTTATTGATTTTCTGTGTAGTGTCTACTTTATATGTCTCATGTACTTAAGCTATGACATGACATACACATTTATTAAATGCATGTGTGTTGTCTACTTTACAAAGGCATACGATTTGGTAAGTCTGAGAGGTCTGTGCAGAATCCTTTATATAATAGATTTTCCCGCATGACTGCTCCCAATCACAAATTCGTTTCACGAAAACATGCATAGCACAGTGATCTTTTTACAAAGGCATACGATTTGGTAAGTCTGAGAGGTCTGTGCAGAATCCTTTATATAATAGATTTTCCCGCATGACTGCTCCCAATCACAAATTCGTTTCACGAAAACATGCATAGCACAGTGATCTTCAATGGTGCGGTCTCATTCCCAGTCAGCAGCGGAGTAAAACAAGGTTGTGTACTGGCACCAACGCTCTTCTCCATTTTCTTCTCGATGCTTCTTGAATTTGCCTTCAGGGACTGGGAAGATGGAGTGTACATCCATACCAGATCTGATGGTAGGCTGTTCAATATCACCCACTTTCGTGCAAAGATCAAAGTAAAAAATGTGCTAATTTGCGAACTGCTGTTTGCTGACGATGCCGCCCTAACATTTCACACAGAATAAGGTCTTCAGCGGCTAGTTAGTTGCACATCACACGCATGTAAAAAGTTTGGACTGTCAGTTGGTCTATCGAAAACACATGTCCTGATTCAAAAAGTGCCATCCCTCCAATCATACCTATTGAGAGTTATAATCTGTCGGTTGTTGAGCATTTCACACACTTTGGATCAAGTATTTCTAGATCTCTCTCCATTGACAAAGTTGTAAACATCAGGATCACAAAGCTACTATGGCTAAAGTGAGTAGGAGGGTTTGTAATAATCTCACTTTTGTTGAGCATTTCACACACTTTGGATCAAGTATTTCTAGATCTCTCTCCATTGACAAAGTTGTAAACATCAGGATCACAAAGCTACTATGGCTAAAGTGAGTAGGAGGGTTTGTAATAATCTCACTTTAACTGATAGTACAAAACTAAGCGTCTATAAGGCATGTGTGCGCTCCTAAGTACGCTCCTTTATGGCAATGAAGTGTGGACCACATATGCTGGTCTTGAGCGGAAACTCAATAGCTTTCACCAAAGATGTCTTCGTCACATTTACGCATTCCATGGCAGGACAAGACGACCAACACAGAGGTCTTGGAACCTGGTAAAATGTATAGCATATTCTCCGCTATTAGCAGGAGACGCCTTCGCTGGTTAGGCCATGTATGGAGAATGGAGGAAGGCCGTATTCCAAAGATGCTGCAGTGTGGAGAGTTAGAAGAAGGGACAAGACTTGCAAAATTATTGATTGCATGTGGGCTTTCTACTCTATATGTCTGATCTAATTAATCCACGACCTGACAGACACACATTATTGATTGCATGTGGGCTGTCTACTCTATATGTCTGATCTAATAATCCACGACGTGACAGACACACATTATTGATTGCATGTGAGTTATCTACTCTATATTTCTTATCTAATTAATCCACGACCTGACAGACACACATTATTGATTGCATGTGGGTTGTATACTCTATATGTCTGATCTAATTAATCCACAGCGTGACAGACACACATTAATCTGGCATGTGGGTAGTCTACTCTATATTTCTTATCTAATTAATCCACGACCTGACAGACACACATTATTGATTGCATGTGGGTTGTATACTCTATATGTCTGATCTAATTAATCCACGACCTGACAGACACACATTATTTAACGCATGTGTATGGACTTCTGGGATTGGTTTCATTGTCATTGGTATAGCTGTAGAAATAACCAAGTCATGTCCATGTTTCGGACCAATAGAAAACATTTGCAAGTCAAATTATCTCTTTAGTTTTTAACATAATATTTTTGCACTTATTTAGGCTCCTTAGAGGAGAGGGTCCTTGATCCAAAGACAAAGATCATTTCTTTGTATCGCGAGAATTCGAGCGCAACATATGTCATCAAAACCTGGAACGGCTACAATGTGGAAATGTCGGTGAAGGTCATTGGAAATATTGCAAGGCAGAGACCACAGTATGGTGAAGGGAGGGATCTTCTCTTAAAAGAGGAAAAAGAGGAAGATTATTAGCTTTGGGATATATTATCAAATATTGCTGTCATATTATCATATTTTGTTGGTGGGGGTGTTATTATTAAAAATATGTATTATATTATTAAATATTAGTGGGATTTAATCTTATTATATCTTAGTGGGGTATTATGAGATTTAGTTTACAAGTATTCAAAATAGGTCAGACTTAACACATATTAGTAGCAAATAATCAAATATGGGTGGGATTCAATTATATTTAGTGGAATATTATATGCCTTGAGCCATTGCCAAATATTATTAACATATAATCATACTTTAGTAGGGTATTATATTTAATGGGATTTTATCAGATTTATTCAAATATTATTCACTGCGGGATGTTATTAAGTAATGGAGGGATAATATTAAGCTAGGAAAGATATTATCAGTCAGATTTGATCAAATAATCGCACAAATCAAATATTTTAGGGATATTTTAATAACAGTGAGATATTTTCAAATATTAGGCCAAGTGGGATATAATATTGACATAATATCGTTTTATTTTTTAAAATAAATATTTAGATTTGAATCGTTTTGTTAAAATTGCTTATTCTTGCTATTTTAAACTACTTTTAAAAGGATTTCAAATATTTTGAAGATTTATAATTTCTATAGTAGACTTTAAACTTTAAAAAAAACAACTTATAAATTTAATTACTTTTTTAAATTGTTCAAATATTTTAAAAGGAAAAGAATAATAAATCATTTGTGGTCATTCAGATCAAATATTTGTTGTTTTTTTTGTTGAGCAATTGTGTGATTATGATTTTTTTAAAAAAACATTACAAATAATTAAACAAAAAAAATTTATTTAATTGATTTTTTTCATAAAATAAATATAAATATATTATGTGATTAAATCCATTTGTGTGGTAGTTGAATTTTGTCAACATGCACAATAACTAATGCATGCACTACTGCTTTTTATAATGTATCACATAAATATGTATATATATTTATAGTAATAAATATTGTTTTAATTATAGATGTCTTCTGGCTCGTTGTTTTTTTACAGTTTAATCACTGTCTTTTGTGTTTATTTTGTGAAATATTTATTGCACACATTTTTTTTTACTGTCTATTGTGTTTATTGTGTTATTAAAGTGAAAGTGTGCTACCGTTACAATGGAATTAACTTATTTCATTCAGACCAAAATCTCACATTTAACTTAGACAATCTCCAGTTATTTAAAACAAAAGAAGCTCCTTTTTTTCAGCAAGAACACTACTGCGTAAGATTCCAAAAAATTATTCCATCAAGTGAGCATCCCATTTTCTATGTGACATTTGTTGCATGCAGAGTTTACCATCAAACTGTTTATATTACTCTTCGCTTATGGGACTAATGTTTGGTGGAAACGATCTACTAAGTGACTGCAAAAATGTTTTTCACAACAAGAACTAAGCTTACAATGGCCTTTCACATTTTTATGGTTATTTTTTTTTTTATTGAAGATATTATAATTTTTCTTTTCTGTGTTAAAATGTTAAACCAAGGAAATTTTAACGCTATATTTATTGAATAGATGAGTCTTTACTCAAAGCTTACTTTTACAAACTGTTGGTCAGACATACATAGCCTAATATGATGTGAAGGTAGTAGGATTTCTCACAAATTGCTAAAGATTCATTAACTAAACTTGTCCATTCACAGACACCTATACATATTACACATGAACAAAACAAGATGGCGGCCATGTGTGTGACACAAAAATTATCTCCATCGTTCTAAAATTGGACTTTAAATATGTTCCCATTGTAACCAAATCTAATTACTTGTTTAAATCGAAATTTGAATTCCAAAATTCATCAGCATCTGTATGTGTTGGGGCATGCAGCCAAGTGTTAGTATTTATACGATCATTCATATTGGATTGTACATAAAAAAAAAGTGCTGAGTCAGTGCTGAGTGAACACAGTGTTTACTTTAATTTTGGGCACATTGAAGTCAGTCAATCGACGAACATTTCCTACTTTAAGGTAAACACGCCGGAAAGGTTGGAGCGTTAACCTCCCAGGACAGGTCGACGTAGTATTTAAATATTTTAACCCTCGATGTGCTAGAGATTAAGGAGAATTGCCACTAGACTCAAATAAAAACAAACTTCATCAGAAGGCAAAATTATACATGGTGATATTTTTTATTTGTCAACATAAGATATCATTAAACGGAGTAGTAACTTGTTGACGGCTCCAATATACCACCCTATTCCTCCCATCTGACCTATACACCCATACATGCCTCCGAACGTTCTCCCCATGGAGTACCCAGAGGACTATTACTCCTACCCATGATATACCTGTTTATAAACAGGCTCCTACCTCCTCCAACGCAAATGACCTCCTTGCCTCCTATGACAAAGGTACCCATGACATGGCAATGCTCGACTACCCCATGGCCTTCGACACTATTCCACACAGCCTTCTTCTACATAAGCTCCACTACTAAGACATTACCGGTAACCTTCACTCCTGGCTCTCAACATTCGGCGTCCGATCAGAAAAAGCCACCGTAGACTCTGGAGTTCCTCAAGGCTCAGTGCTGGGCCCCCTTCTCCTTCTGTCACTTAAACGACCTCCCTGATACTGTAAAATCTCAAGTGAGGCTGTTTGCTGATGACTCTCTTATCTACAGAGAGATAAACGGCTACGATGACCACAACCACCTCTAAGCAGATTTGAAGTGCCTTCTGAATTTGGCGGACAAAAGGGGCATGAAATTTAATGTAACCAAATGCTCCACAATGAGAATCACTATAAAAAAAAACCATCAACCTTTATGTACTCACCAAACGAGACAATTCTTCAATAGGTATAAAATAATCCATAACTTGGAATTCTCTTCTCAAACAACCTAAAATGGTCACCCCATGTAAACAAAATTTTTAAAAAGCCAACTCTACACTAGGTTTCATTCGAAGAAATCTGCTCCACTGACCATCTTCCTGCAAACGAAATTCCTATCTTACACTCACCAGTCCCCTACTAGAATATGTAGCGATCATCTGGGACCCACACCAAAAGCAAGACGGGGACAAGATGGAGCGAATCCAACGTAACACTGTGCGCTTTTCATTGCACGTGACTACGAATCCACCACTTCTGGCTTCGTCACTGGCCTCTTAAAGACTTGACATCCCCTCCCTTAAACACAGACGAGAGAGACTCCGCCTGATATTCTTATATAAAGTGATCATGGGGCTGGTGCCGGCCATCCCATCAGGCACGTTCCTCACCCCACAGAAGCCGGGTCGATTGATCAGAGCCAAGCACTCACTGAACACTGATTTCACCACTGACTATCCCATAAACAATTACACCCGAAACCGAAGCAAGTGCTTCAATGTGCATCGCTGTAACACAGTGCAGTATAAACAATCATTATTTCCATGAACAATAATTGCTTGGAACCACCTGGACAATGCCGCTGTGGACTCGACTACAGACGAAAGCTTCAAAACTGCCCTGGCATCTGCTAGGAGCTGTTAGAATAGCAACATCGCTTCCCCAACCGTTGCACAGATGCCAGTATATGGATGCAGCAACGAACACTACCAGAACTAGAAGCCGATCTTTTCATGCCCAATGTAATTGCTTGGCTCTACTCAGGTCTAGCCTTATAAACTTTTGCACCCCAGGCGGTTCTAAATTTTGGCGCCCTACATTCTTCAAATTTTTAAGGTTGATTTTAACTTCATGTCATTAATTATTAAAAAAGCGAGCTGACTGAGAAGAATGAAGATACGAGTTCTAAAATAACAATCTTATTCTGCCAGTAAATATAAATAATGAGACATAAATATTATTTAGATATTACACAGACCGTTTAAAACTAATATTTTAAAAATTAAATGCATATAAAAAGCAATTTCTTAAAAAGGCAAAACACTTTCAAGAAAAAAAATAAGAATTTCAACATGCAGTGTTTTAAATATATATATATATACAGTGGAACCTCTCATAACGAGTTTAATTCGTTCCAGACTCTTAATCGTTAAGCGAAACTCTCGTTAAACAAAACAATTTTTCCCATACAAATCAATATAAAATACGATAATACGTTCCATGCAAAACAAAATACTATTTTTTCAAAAAGTTTTATTAATATTTATTCAAATAAAATTCTTTATGAATTGTTAAGGAGTGTAACAACTTAGAATACAATTCAGATTTGAAACAAAAACATAAATAAAAATATGAATTTATGACAAATAATGAATCCTTGTTAACTAGAAAACTGTCTTAAGACATTTGTTTTTGCCGACACTTCAAAATTTTACGAAAATGTGTCACAGCATTATCATTGAATACATTTGTAGCACGAATAGCCTCGCTCAAACCTTGTTCTCGCTTTTCAATGATTTTACGTTTCATTTCAACAAGTAATTTTTCTCTTTTATGATTGTCCTCTTGTGTTTTTTTTTTCGAAGACATTTTAGCATAGGTTATTACACTTTGCACATAAAAAAAATTACGAATACTGTCTGAATACAAATTTGTAAAAACTGGTGATCACACACGAAAACAATACGCTAACAGACCCGAGTGCTAAACACAGACTAATATAATGATTCTCAACCTTCTTAATGCCGCGACCCTTTAATACAGTGTCTCGTGTCTTTGCGACCCCCCCCCCAGCAACCTAATTATTTTCGTTGCTACTCCATAGCTGTAAGAATATGTGTTTTCAGATAGTCTAAGGCGACCCCTGGGAAAAGGCCGCGCTACCTCAAAAGGGGTCACGACCCACAGATTGAGAACCGCTGGACTAATGCATCGGTGCGGAAGCCCGGCTCACAAATGAATGTCAGGAAAAAGGGATTGACCCTTTCTGCGTAACTCTTTATGGGAAATATCACTCGTTAAGGGAGCAACTTATTCACATTTTTTTTGCTCATTATATGAATTACTCGTTATGAGAGATTCCACTGTCTATATATATAAATATTTATAAACATCGCTTTTGTTTGTTTCTTTGTGGCAAAATCTTCGGAAGATTAATTAACCCACTTCCCATCACCACATCGAGCTGAAACTTGGCAAATAGACCTCTTTGCCGATGACAACACATTCAAATTGTCAGCCTCATCCCCAACCTCCAAATATATGTTTTTTCTTTCCAGGGTAAGATGAAGTAAATCTGATGCAAAGATTTCTTAAGAACTGTAGCCATCGCTTAGTCGCGCTATAACTATAATACAATAAAATATACAGTATTTTTCAAGGGGCAAATGAAGGAAATATGAAAGGTGTTTCTCCAGCAGTTTAATATTTTACATAGCCGCTTCTTAAATTAAAAATGCAAATGCTCCCCCCCCCACTCAGGTAAGTAAAGTGCCCCCCGCCCCACCCCGCCCCGCAAAATGTGCACAACAATATAAGGAAAGTATAATATATATAATTATAGTTCATCATAATAGCTTGACTTTTCAAGTAGAGACACGTGTTAATTATTAGTTATAAATTGCATTATAATTATGGCATAATGCTTTTTTCCCTCTAATTTAGAATTTAAAGGGCGCATAGAAATAGTGCACGTATCATCAATTATTATGAAATGGAAAGTGCTTTTGTTTTCTTCAAAGGTGCTACTTTTGTAACAAAGTTGTAGAAAAGAT